ACGAGCAGTGCCACTGAGTGACAGCGAGGTGCACAGTCTGCACCTCTGTAACCTCACAGCTGGGCGTCCTTCATACTGAGATACGGCTTAGAGAGCAAAGCCGAGTGCAGCTGAGAGCAGCAGTGCCAGGAGCTGAACGGCAGCCGATGTGTTCACAGATCAGTGCAGAAGAGATCAGAGATCTTAAAGCTTTTCTTCTTTTGAACACTTTGTGGTTTCCTTCAGTGAGTGTGGTGAGCTTATGGTGAAAGCAATGAAAAAGGAAGTCGGCCCTATTGAAGCAGCGTGTTCACATCCACAGACTTCACACTTTGTGATTTCTTCAGATGCCGTCTGGATCTCATTGTTTGTAGTTCATCTTTAAAGAACTACATCTCCCAGATTACTCTGCTGCTTCTGTTTGATCGCGTTTAAGACCCTGATATGTTAGTAGTTGTCTTTACTCGCTTAGCCAGGTGCAGGTGGTTCGGCTGAGATCAGCTGTTCTGTCTCACAGTATAAGACTCAACTGTAGACTCTACTATTTTTATTCTTTATCATGCTGCTGTAACACAACAACTTTACTCATGGGATCAATAAAGAATCGATTTATCTAGAAAATACACTCTTAGTGAGCAGAATTATATTCATTCCTATTAACATGAAGCTAACACAGAGAGAACTGGCATATGTTGGTTTTAACACTGTGACATCATAGCAACAAGGTCTGTGGTTCGAATCTTAGCTGGACTGGAACAGGTCGCAGCGTCTCCTCAGGTGAACTCCACTGTTGTACGTCCAGCTTTTTTATTCCTGTCACTGTGCATGTCAGTGTGCAACCTGTTCTCTGGACATTTATTCAGTTGCAAATCACAACCAGGCGCTTCATATTGTAAGGTGAAGCATTTAACCCGAGGAAATCAGCGCCCAGTTCAAAATGGTCATTTTCATCCAGCATCCAGTCAGAGCCCGCCAACGTTTCCTTACATGCCCTGTGGTGTGTCGTATGTGTCTTTAAATCCAAGCAGAAACCATCCAACATACGATTAACATGTTAAACTGTTTAAATCTCTACGTCCACCTCTGTCACAAAAATGGAGCCAGACTGAAACTCTGAAGCTTCAGCAGATGTTCTATGGGGCGCCGTTTGTAAAGTGAAACATGCTGAAATTAACGGCAACATTTTTCCACATTTAGCTCAAAACCTTACAAAAACATGTTTTTTCAAGTAATTTTTTACAACATTTAGTAAAGTATTTGTAACTTTTCATCAAATGTTAAATGTTAAATCTAAATATTTAGGCTAACATGCAAATTTATTGTACGGATCAACGGAAATACCAAAATAAAAGCTTCCTGAAAACCTCCGGTGCAAAATTGCGTCTGCTCTCCCCCTCACTTCTCCCCGCCATGTGCTGCTTCACTTCTTGCCTACGAGCATGTCCAGCGATTTTGCTGGACATGCTCGTGATCCGTGCAATAAATTTGCATGTTAGCCTAAACATTTAGATTTAACATTTAAAATTCTGTTTTAAATATGAAAGTTACAAATATTTTACTAAATGTTGTAAGAAAGGACTTGTTTTGAGCTAAATGTGGAAAAATGTTGCCGTTAATTTCAGCATGTTTCACTTTACAAACGGCGCCCCATA